AATTGCGTTATCCAATGGATAGTGGTTTATTCAGTGGATAACGTTATTCATTACTTGAACAACTGGGGCAATACGAAAAAGAGCAATTAAGAACTCTGATATGTTGTCTTAAAACTTTAAGCTACTTTAAAATATACTTGCCTTTTTCTCTTGTATTATTTTGTTATTGTTAGACCATTTTCACGGTAACTTTAATCTATTACAACTACCTTGATGTCCGGCTTTGTAGGCTATGTATTTGTTTGTTTGTTGTTTGTTTTTTTTTTGCAAGTTAGAGCTGCTAAAATGCGTAAATTCAATGGTACTACAAAACTTGAACAAAAAAGGCATTGCGAAATAGTTTCTGGTAGTTGTGCACACTGAAATTTGAAAACCGCCTATGACGTTCCCCTCTTTTCTTTTTTATGCTATTAATTCTATTTCTGAAAGTGTTTTATTTGCATTTCTTTTCATTGCCACTTTTTCTGCGCATAGTGGCAGGAAGTTGGGGAGTGTTAAATCCCGAAGCTGAGATCTTTACCCACAATATGATTCTGAGTAAGTGTACTGTTTACATTAATGCTCTCTGCTTCTCTTTGACAGTTACAGTTTAAAAGGTCCAGTATATCTTAAGGACAAAACAGGACAAGTTGTAACTCCTCAAGAAGATTGTGTTGTCTTTGGCCCTGGTGAGTACTTTCTGGACATTAAATGTTTCAGAGCAAGAACTATTAGCCCTAAGGTTGATTTCCACTGACGCGTTTTTAGCTACGCACGTTAACGCACATAAATTTTAATCACGTAAATAAAATAGAGGTAAGATAAAAAATGCTGAGCTTAAACGAGAAGTTGAGCGAGGTTCAACTTTTATGCTTACGAACGACGTTTCATGCATTGCCTCTACCTTATTTCCGAACGTAAATTTTACGCACCTACGCACGTAAAAATTACGCGACACTGGAAATCAACCCTTAGCTGAAGCAAACGTGTCGGTTAATGGGTTAAGGAACGGAAATGTCACCAAACTTACCTTCGCTCACGCTACTGAAGGCTTATGGCACCATGCTGTTAAACCATGTGTGTGCTAAATGCGTGAAGGCCATTGTGAGGTCGTGATTGGAGGTTTTGAACTGCATTCTATGCCACGAAATGAGTTTACTGTGACGTAAGACTACGGTATACGGACCGGAGGCACATTGTGTTCCCCCAATCTCACCGTCACACACTCAAGGAGGTACATTGTACGTGCAAATGGAAGGATCCTTCAAAAAGAGCATAAAAACAATGTACGGCAAACATTGTGTGAAAATAGTTATGACAGTGGTTGCTTACCATTTACACAACCCCGCACCGGGGGTGAAATCTTGTGCGTAAACAAAAAACTATACAATTTGACGAGGTGGAAGAGTGACCCGCTACTAAGTATATCCAGTTCAGCTGAACATATACCCTGGGTGCCAGAGACTTTTCTAGCGCGGTTTCCGGTTTCTGTCAAGTCTTCATAGTGACCCGCGCGAAAAGCTTTTCTCGCGGAAAAGCGAAATGTTTTTCTCGCAGCTTTGCCGCTCGTGGCTTCGGCCTACGGCCGAAGATGTGTCGGCCTTCGGCCAACACCGAAAATTCCCACCGCAAGCGATAAAAACCTCTGGTACCCAGGGTACTGAACATACTAGAAGGGATTTTATTTGCAGTCGCATACGCGTTTTACCTTAGCAGTCAAGAGATTGTAACATTTTGGGGGCTCTTATCTCAACAGGTCTGCTTACTCGACATGAATTTCACTTGACGGTCAGGAATTCTGCTGGATCTTTCCATTTTCGACTCTTTGACCACGTTAAGGTTTGTTGATGTTGTTTTTGCTAATTGCCAAAGTGTCTCAAACACGTTAACAAAGGATCTTCCTAACAAGACACTAAAGCTGTCTAATTATGTTCAGTGCATGGGCTCGGTACTTGTATGTATTAGAGGGAAATCTGTTTCCCGATCTCCCAAAGTTTTTCCTGTTTTATGAAAAATGAAAATCTTTCCTATAACCTCCTTTATGTTGATAGAAGAAGATAAATCGGGAAAGTTCAGAATTCTACGAAATAAAGACATAACAACCTTCTTCGATCTCAGCAACAGATTCAATTTGACGCCAATAGTCCAGGCTCAAATTTGTTGCGGCCACTGAAAAGGAGCAGTGAAGACTCATTTATACAGGATTCGCCTCGACCTGAAGTAAAATATTCACAATTACAAATGATAAAATATTTACAGACACGGTTGTACACAGGTGTTCTTTTGACTGGAATTTTTGAATATATTTAACTAAGGTCGAGGCTAACCCCGTATAAATAAGTGTTCGGTGCTTCTATTCAGCGGCCACGACGACTTCGAATCTGGAATATTGTATGGTGCGTGGTAAGTACCGTAGGATTTCTCATCAAAATTGCAAACTTTGACCTTGTGGTAAGTTTTATCTCTTGCCTTTTCAGGTACGAATATCTGTCAATAAATCTCGTGCGCATTCTCAATCCTTGAAGCTGGAACTACTTTCCCTAGAAACGAGCCAGAGTCCCCCAGTTACCGAAATAAACCCTCAAGATGAAACAACTAATAAAATGAAGAGAAGTGAACTTGTCAAGGTACTGTTGTAAATCTGTGAAAGGTTTGAACTCAGGAATCATTTCAAAAGTAGGTTGAGTTTGATCCTCCGGGTGAACGTAGTCCTGAATAGGACTGTTGTTGTTGACAGTGACTCACGTTTCGAAACCTGTACGGTAGTCATCTTCAGAGTCAAAGAAAAATACATTTCAAAACTTGACACTGAAGATGACTACCGCACAGGTTGTCGAAACGTCATTGTCAACACCAACAGTCCTATTCAGGACTAAGTTCACCCGGACGATCAAACTCAACCTACTTTGGTACTGTTGTAAAGCAGCCATATTTTACGTCGATAACTCGTGACAGTAATAACTGATAAACTTGAGGTAGATGGTGCGCTCATTTTATCCCCCTCTCTCTCCCCTCTTGTAAATTCATTGATGGCCAATGAATTTACGTTTTTTTAATCTCTAGCTTGAATATTCCAACTCGCTTACTTTGTCGAATGCAAGCGAACTCTTCTGGAGCCAAATTCCTAATAACCATATTCAAGATGAAAGTGAAGAATGATCAGCGCAGTAAATTTTCCAATTGAAGCAATTGGAAAGAAGAAGCCTGTTTCTCAGGCTTCTTCTTTCCGCAGTTCAAAATGAATTATTTCATATATACTTCACATCAACTATATTCAAGTTCAGAAAGAGGTAGAAAATTTCGTTGTCACTTGTTTACGTTCTCCCTAAAACTCGATATGAGGCTTTTTTACGTTGTAGTCGTACAGTGACGGCAAGGAAATACACAAAAAAAGCGTGCGGAGTTGTTGCAATAGTTTTTTGACGTTCTCGTTGCCGTCGCCGTCGTGGCATCTTAAACTTCCTGGTCACGCCCTTGTCACGATTACGGTATACCTTGTTTTTTTACTTTGAAATCTGTTTATGCGTTTCGGGCGAAAGCGATGCTCATGCGGGGAAATTCTCTCTACGATAACAAATAATCGTGAGAAAACTGATGTTACCGGAAAACAAGGAAAATGTTTAACGTTGGACAGTTTCAGACTTGAGAGATCGTTCTTTGAAACGACAATGTTTGTCTGTGTTTGGGCTAAGAATCCTCTAGTCCCAGGACCGTTGGGAGATACGAAAATTGCTTGTTGAAAATATAGTCAATACACTCCTGGTCTTTAGTCGCCTTGACTAACCGCAGTAAAAATTTCATCCGGTACACAAATTGACAGGTTTTATTCAGACTCGATGTTTTCGCTTTTAACACGTTTTCATTCCTTACCGCAGCAGGATTAGCTCAGACGGTAGAGCGCTCTACTGCAGAGCAGGAGTTGGTGGGTTTGATTCCTGGGACCAGACCAATACTCAGGGTTTTAAAGTAACTGAGAAATGAAGGCACCGCCTTTGTACCTTTGCCCAGCAAACGGCTAGACTTTCGCTTGGCTCGGTGGACTACGTAAAGTGGCGGTCCCGTCTCCAGTAGGAGACGTAAAAACAGTGTCCTCAATTGGTACAATAGTGCTAAATATGTTGACACTCAAATTAAATTTCCATTTTATTTATTTTATTTATTTATTTTATTTTCAGGAAGTGAAATCAAGCCGAGATGAACAGAGCAAAGACACAGGAACGGAAAGACTTGATAATGAATTCCAGAAACTGAAATCAGAATTTGCTCAAACTCATGAAAGTGTCAGCTTCTATTGTCTAATGGAGTTCTTCAGAGAAATGTCAATGAGGGATGATCATCAAGGTGTGGTTTAAACAGTGCTCCATGTTAGAAAACTAACCTAAAAATCCTGGAATCGCAGACTCGATAATGAATTGCAGAAATTCAAATCAGACTTTGCCCAGACCCATGAAACTTTCATTGCTGTGACTGTTTAATGGGGTCTTTGGGGTAAAGTCAAAGACAGATGACACTTGTGGGCTATAAACGCTACCCCATACAAAAGACATTCGGCCAACTTAAAACCTACAGATGGGACCAGGGACTTAATTTAAAGCGACATTTCCGTTGAAGTTCCTCGGAAAATCGGGCGAGAGAGGCAGAGAAAAACAAACTGCGCCATCATAACGTCATTTTCATAGTCTATAGACCATTAGCTCCCGACCAATCAGCGCGCTAGAAATCGCTTGGTTATTGTAAAAATTCCATAACCATCAAATGGTTGCTTGTTTCTTTAACTGTAATTATTTTCCTGACTAAATGTGATTAACCAAACGTTAAAAGAAAAAAATAATAAAAATTAATAGTGACAACACGCTGGTGTAAAAATAAATTACATTTATATATACGGTTCTTTCAAAAAGGACCGCACATAATAGGTTTTAATTAACGTTCGAAGGAAAAAACTGTATATCTTTATGTTTTGTAAGAAAATGAGTTCTTTATGCGCGCCGGTTAAGGTAGAAATCAAACTCTTCACGGAATCATTGACAAACATAGTCCTGGTTACCCTTTAAAGGAGTACTCTTGTTACTTAATGCTCTACAATTAATGCCAACAGTATTACATGTTTTTGTAAACGCTGTCACTGCTATTTTTTGGGTTGCCAAGGCTGGAAGATGATGGCTCGAAGAAGGTGGCCTTGTCGTCTCGAAATGAGGACGACGACAAAGTTTCTTAATGGCATTCTTAAACTGGGTCATACGTAAGCAGTAGATAATTGGATTAAGGAAAGAATTGGCGTATTGTAAAACTCCAGTAATCTGTGTAAACAGAGATCGTGGATCAACCAAGAAGGTGGGAGCTGCAAAGCTCACACCACTTGGCAACTGTGTAATGAGAGAAAGTAGGGTGACGATGCAAAGAGTTTTTGCAAGCCTTTTGTTCTGTGCCAGTGACCTATTTGTAATATTTTGCATCCGGTTTCGTCTGGTATTTATCCATATTGCTAGGTAAGAAGCAAAAATGACAACTGTAGAGAGAATTGATATCGCGAAAAGTCCCATTGTTGCGAAACTTATAGCGCCGTTAGAATAAAGAGACAGCACCACCATACCATTTATGATGGCAATTAGCCAAATAGCGCCAGTTGAAACTAGGTAGTGCCAGGTCTCTAACGTCCGGTGCCGAAAGGGCCATAATATGGCTAACATTCTCTCTAACGCAATCAAAGCTAACGATGAAACAGAGGCTGTTGAAGCTAAAACGTCAATAGTAACTCCACTGTATTTCAGAGGCAGGCTGCGTGACTCGTGGTTTCTGGACAAAAATAAAATACCATCCCATATGTGCAATGATATCGCTACACCGAGTAACAGATCGGCGACTGTTAGGGAAAGGAGCAGGTAGCATGTCCGCCTTAGGTGGCTCTGAATCTTTATAAAAATAATAATTGTAATAGAATTTCCCACTAGAATTAGTAGCGCCTCACTGCTGAATATGATAATCCAATGTATCTCGTTAATATAGGCCTCCCCTGTGTTCTTGTTGTCCATTTTAGCCATTCCTTGAAAAGAGGAAAAACAAATCACGTCACAAGTTTTTGCCAAAAAAATAGGGGGGAAATGACGCTCATTATTATATTAAATTCTACGGAGTTACCCCGTATGGTATCCTCTGATCCAATTCAAACTTGTAACATGCAAAAGTAGGGTAAGAAAGGCGAACACGAGCCAAAAGCCCAAACGGCTTGAGCTTATCCCGGTTTCCTTAGCATGAAGCATGCCTAGGAGAATTGCCACCCCTCCCCCATGGACGGGATGCTAGTCCATCGCCAGTTTGTCGCCGGTACCAATTTATACACCTGGGTGAAGACAAAGTGGAGTTAAGTTCCTTGTCTAAGTAAACAACGCGACGGGCGAGGCTTGAACCCCGGGCCTCCAGATCCGGAGGTCGAGTTGTTGACCGCTCGTTCATACACGCCTCCACAAGCAAAAAGCCTATACAAAAAACTGCTCTGGGAAAGTTACCTCTATCCACAGCAGAAAGGAAACTCATAAAATAAATAATGCGTAACAAAACAACATACTCTTACTTCCAGCTTACGATCCGAAGCCACACTTTAACTTTTCCGGTTTATGACATTTAGCCATTGTTAGCCTTCTTGCCAAGATTTATGTGAGTAGGCTTCTTTTATTCTTTCTTTCTTTTTTAGCCATTAGGCTAAGGTTTTCCTTTCAGAAAACGTTTGGGCAAGTTAAATGCTTAATTCTTAGCACCGTCGGACAACCATCTCACGATTGAAGTGCAAAAGCACTGTAACGTGGAATTGATACTGAATAATATGCATATATGAAATCGCTTGATATTAACATACTATCTTACAAATCTAGGAGGTTTATCATTCGATATTAAAAGAAACCGAAACGTTTCCGACCATAAGCCTTATTAAAAATGCCATAATACTCTTTGTTGTCCCTCCAAAGTTTTGCATTAGCATTTGTTTTCAATTTCTTACAATCGTCCGAAAACGTTTTGATTCTTTTAAAACTTTTAACCTTGTAAAATAGCATTTTAAGCTAAAAACTTACCTGTTGTTTTTTTTTTCTGTGCAGTGGTGTTTATTCCATAAGACAACAAATTCGGGCAATCCAATTTCTGTGAATATTTTGGCAAGTATATGCTGTTAATGTTTCGAAAAGAGATAAGACGGAGATAAAGCGCAAGTTTGTCCTAAATTAATGGCTTTGCTCCCATTAAGTGTCATTTCCTTTCTTCATTCGTACAGCTGCTGACAGCTGCTTAAAAGTTTTGATAAAACGTTGATCCTGAGAATTGCTATTTTGAGTTGTTCAGCCGTTTGTGTCATCGTTTTTCGTTGTGTTCCTTTTTTCACGATTTTATTACGTGGTTATTTGAAAACGGTTCAAGGTTTCGTGTTCTTACTGCCACTAGAATGCTGCAGTGTTTAGTTCTTTTGGCTTAAGCAACCACCAAATCGAAGGCGACAAAAGCCGTAAAAAAGTCGCATTTTGTCGCACACCACAGCACTACAACATCACAGTTGATACATTTTTTATATGGTATCTATGCACAGTTACCCAAACCCTGGCCAATTAAGACCAAAATTCAAAATGCAAAACGCACATTAAAAATAGGTGTTTATTACGTATTACAATAATTGTACCAGTTTTGTTAAAATCAGCCTGGTACCCGCATTTCGCAAAGCTGCGCTGAATTTTAACCCATTCATTCTCAGAGTGATAATGGAGTCTCAGTGTAAGGTAGTTTTAACTTCCGAGCTTGTGGACAAAATGATGTGGCATTACCATTCGGAAACCTCTCTTGAGGAACTTTCGCAAAGTGTTATTTGGTTTCTGGAATTGAAATTCTACTTTGGTCACTTCTTTGAATAAAAGGGTTCATTGTATGATTCTACTCCCTTCAGAAATTGCAACCCCTGAAGGTTTACAGTGAGCTATGTTAATTTGTCTGTCTCGTTTCTAAGTGGGGCGAGGTCGATTAAACGACTCCTTGTTTTTCTCTGAGAATAGGAGATTTATTGTAGTTGTTAGAGATTTCGCAACCGATTAGGAACAAATTGCTTGAGGCCCTTTCTACCAATAGGTAGTCAAGATTTTTCTGGTTTTCATCTCACTATTGATACCTCCTCCGAGCAAAATATTGCTCTTTTTTATAATGACACAATAAACATCTGCTACGTGAAAATTTTTTTAATTCTGGTACAAAGGAAAAGCAAATTATTTTAGACCCAGACTTCATCATGGAAAATTTAAAGGATATTCCTTGAATGATGTGGGTCTGTTCTCTTACCCAACTTAACCCCTATATAGCTTTACAGTGAGCCATGTTTAATTTATTTGTCTCGCTCCTTCATGGGGCGTGTTCGATTTTAAAAACGACTGTTTTGTTTTCTAGTGAACAGGAATAGATTCATTGTAGTTGAGACAGATGAATTTTCTGTTGCTAATCTCGCCACCGACCGGGAAAAAATTGCTTGAGGCCCATCCTACCAACAGGGTTTCGCACTTGTTAATCATTACTGTCAGATTTCTGGTTTTTATCTCACTCTACAGTTCCCACCTGTTCTCGGAAATAGAAGTAAATTAATTTTGCTTTTTTCTGTAAAAACACAATAAACATCTGCTACTTGAAGAAAATTTTAATGTTGCTACATAGAAAAAGGTAATTATTTTATACCCACTCTTTATTAGTCAAAGAAATATAAAGAATATTCTTACCAAATGGGATATCCCTAATGTGATTAATAAACCGAAGTAAATTTTTTTGTGCGTAGACCAGAATTCATAAAAAAAGACTGTCTGTACCTTCCTTCCTTTATCAAAGTGGTCCTGATGACTCCCACGGTTCTGTGCTTTACTCGTATTCAGCCTAATGCCACAGACAACTTCGATGACTTTTATACCTTGGGACTGTTTTCTCGTCTAGTCAACATCATAGCCTGTCTTCCACAATACGATTACTAGAGTGCTTCAACGGCCTCTATAGACCTTAAGAAAACTCCATTGGTAACTCCGAGTGAATTTTCCTGAAAATTAAGCCTGTTTCCAAAGTAACGACAGAAAAGCTTCCCCAGTGCTAGCTTAAATTCAGGCATCTTGAAGCAATAGAGAATTGGATTCAAAAACGAGTTTGCGTACAATGCCACTATGGTGATTTGAAACCCAAATGAATGTATATTTTGTGTGTAGTTATTTAAGGCAAGTGTGATACCAGAAGGCAAACAAAATAAGATCGACAATCCTGTAACAATACAAAGAGTCTTCGCTAACCTCCGGTCATGTTCTTGAGATCTTGACGTTTTGCCCGGTAGGTTGTGGCGTCTCGTTTTAATCCAAATTGCAAAATATGCAACGCTTATGACTACGACTGAAGTAATAGAACTGATAACTGTGAAAAGGCTAAATTGCTCATTAAAGTTTATGTTTGCTACTCCATTCAAGATTGCCAGAGTCCAAACGCTTCCAACAGAAGTTACGTAGTACCATTTTCTTGACAATCTATGTCGAAATGGCCACAAAATTGCACACATTCTTTCTAAAGATATCAAGGCCAAAGACAATAAAGAAGCTACTACAACTGTTACATCGAAAGTTACTATTTTTTCTCCAACTGAATAGCTAAGATGTCGTCCTTTCATCGCAGCAATACCGTCCCAAAGCCAGAAGATGAGCGCAATGCCGACTGTAAAATCAGCAACTGCGAGATTGATGAGCAAGTAGCTAGCGCGCCTTAATCGTCTTCGTATGTTCCAGAAGATGTAAACGGTGATCAAATTTTCTGTCAGGATTACAGTTGCTTCACAGATGTACACAACCATCCAAGGAATGGTATTAAACAACTGGAAGTGCTCGTTTGCTCTTGTGGCGTTCATTGTGTTACTGGATCTGAAAAGCAAAAAGAAAAACCAAAGCATATTACTTGTTTCCGCTTAATGGATATATACATTGCCACTTGAAGACCTGGGATTACAAAGATTCTTTGAGAAGAGAAAAAACCTTGATTCCTTTATCCTTGAAAATGTTACATGCAGTGAGATTCAAGTATCTTTACCAGGCTACGTTCTAATTTGAAAAAGGAAAGGGACAAAATAGTGCAATTTAAATTACGGTTGCTGTCGTGATTGTTTAACTCTTTTCCAAGTGTTCACGTCAGCAACTCTAGCTGAGTATCTTTTCTAATGTTAATCAGTACCCAGCAAGCATGGTTGGCCTATTAAACACAGGTTTGGGTCTTTTTATACGGCTGCGGGAATAGCTAAGTTTCTTTCTCTCTTTTTTTATTTCAGTAATGATAACAAAAACAAAAGTAAAGGAAGATCCGAAATAAGGAAAATAATCCTGACCCCAAGCAGAAGTTACCTCATCGAGTTGATAGTGAAAAATCTGTTTCTTCGCTTGATGAACACAATCTGCTAATTATCTTGCTCCATATATTCCTCAAATTCTGAAATTAATATAATTCAAATTGATATTTCAGATAGAGTTGGTTGAACCTCGATCTGACTAAAACATAATAATTTATAAACAGTAAACGGGAAATATCCGGGAAAGGAATATTCGACAGTTTCATCTACATATGACATCTTAGCTTTAATGGCCGGGTTAATCAAATAACCTACAGATCTTCCTTTGCCGATCCTCCGTTTAAGATTTAAATGCTCCTGAGTGAGTTCAGTTTGTCTGTGAATGCATGTTTTTTCATACACGCGCAATATTTAATCAGTGTTATCTGAAATTTCCATGCCAAAAAATGCTTGCTATGGGCAGTATTATTGATGATGATAGTGATGATGATGACGACAATGATAATGATAATAATAATAATAATAATAATAATAATAATAATAATAATAATAATAATA